ACAAGTGGCATTAATATATGATTATTTTTCAATATGATACTGTATCCATGTCATATCCATTTATACAGTAGTACACATTATTACAAATATTGCAATAGTTACGACATGAAAATAAATAATGTCTGCGATCGTCATAATGATATACACAAGGCCACGTAGAAGACTCATGAATATGTCTGTGATGTGTGTGTGTGTGTCTCTGTGTGTCTGTGTGTGTGTGTGTCTGTGTGTGCGTGTCTGTGATGTGTGTGTGTGTCTGTGTGTATGTCTCTGTCTGTGTGTGTGTGTCTGTGTGTGCGTGTGTGTTTGTTTGTGTGTGTGTGCGTGTCTGTGATGTGTGTGTGTCTGTGTGTGCGTGTCTGTGATGTGTGTGTGTGTGTGTGTGTGTGTGTGTGTGTGTGTGTGTGTGTGTGTGTGTGTGTGTGTGTGTGTGTGTGTGTGTGTGTGTGTGTGTGTGTGTGTGTGTGTGTGTGTGTGTGTGTGTGTCTGTGTCTGTGTGTGTGCATTTACATCACTGCATCCTATACTGAGGCGGGGGTGGATAATTTGACAGAAACGGATACTATAGTCTATTGAGCCTATACTTCATAGTAAGATTACAGTTCAAAAATACGAAGGGGGCACGGGTGACCTAGTCGTCTTGGGCGCCTCGATTCGCTGTGCGGAGTTGCGTCCCTTGGGCATGCCAGAAACCTATGATTGTGGGTTCGAATCCCGTTTCGCCCCGATTATGTTTCTAGGTTTGTCAGCACCATACCCGTGCTCGTGGTTTTCACCGAAGTGGTAAACGTCTGGGACCTGCATCACTTCGGTCTCTTCCACACTAAGCTGACACGCCACGATATAACTGGAACAATGTTAAAAGCGGCGTAAAACCCAACTCACTCCAAAATCTGTGTACCTTTTCATTAAATGTTCCTGGTATAATCTAAGCTCTGTCAACGTGGTAAATAAATGTATTCGTTTTGGTGACAGAAACGTCTCCGACTGACCTACTTTGGGTTTTCCTCTGACAGTATGACATGCCATGATGTAATATTGTTACAAAAACAATAATCACTATTTTTTCGTATCTGGGAACAATGGAACACGTTAACCCCCACGTGACAAACATGCACGTGTCTCAAGCCCATAACTCAATTGATAACTAGATTATACAGTGTTCTTTCTGCCCAACACAACGTCTGGGTAACCCATCAATCACGTGAAGTAGAATTGTCCCGTTCATCAAACAGAGTTTTCTTTATGTGTTTAAGTTGCAATGACATAAACTATTAAATTGATATAATGAGGCCTAACAAATTGTGCATATTTAGTGAGTGAGTGAGTGAGTGAGTGAGTGAGTGAGTTGTGTTTAACGCCGCTTTTAACATTATTCCAGTTATATCGTGGCGTGTCAGCTTAATGTGGGAGGAAAGTGATGCAGGTCGCAGACGTTAACCACTTCGGTGAAACCCACGAGCACGGGTATGGTGCTGACAAACCTAGAAACATAATTGGGGCGAACCGGGATTCGAACCCACAATCATAGGTGTCTGGCGTGTCCAAGGGACGCAACTCTGCACAGCGAATCGCGGCGCCTTAGACGACTGGGCCACCCGTGCCCCCTGTGCATATTTAGACATTGAAAATGAAAGAATCATAACATTGACGGGAGGGATGATAAAATAATAACAAATGGTCTGAATATTTAAATGAAAATGTTTTCAATAAAGCGACAAAACCCTTTCCGTATTCATACGTAATCCATGCCAAAACAGAATCCATTGTACGATTCTGACTTTGTCATGAGCATGTGTTTATGAATCACTATCCAATAGTGATGATACCAGGTGTTCGCGAAAAGGTGAGCGTATCCTGTCCCACCTGAGGCATCCGTCACAAAACACATGCAAAGGCGAAGCTTGGAGTATAAATGGCGTGAAACAGATCCAGGTTCCCTTTCCTAAAAATAGGCCTTGGTATGTCACCGTTTTACCTGATAGTTCAACGCTCATAACTTGCGTCAAGTTGGGCTTTTTCATTCCACGACATGCTGACATACCGTCAGACAAGATACAGCCATCATGAATACAATAATAGAGTTGCTGAAATCTGTATAATTACCACCACAACTCTTTCCAACATTCGATATGAGTTTTCAGGCATTATACAATGGTTCATTTATACCAGGTGTTGACTAATTATTTTTGCGAACACCTGCTCATCACTGATTTTCAGCGATCAATTTTGCCTTTTACTCCAAATGGAGTGAGTGAGTGACTGAGTTTGGTTTTACGCCGCTTTTAGCAATATTCCAGCAATATCACGGCGGGGGACACCAGAAATGGGCTTCACACATTATACCCATGTCGGGATTCGAACCCGGGTCTTCGGCGTGACGAGCGAACGCTTTAACCACTAGGCCACCCGACCGCCCCTACTCCAAATGGAAACTGTTTCGGGAGATAATCGAGACTGATTTTTCTCTGGCGTTGTTGTTTTATATTAACTTGACAATAATTCTTAACCATCCACAAGCTTCTTGATAAGAGGTGACATTGATCTGTCGGCATAGAAGGGTAACACAAAGCAATTCAGCTTTAGTCTTTATTTGCATCTCACAATCTACAGTGTAAGTATCAACATGTAAAATGTACATGAAAATAGTTTTTATAAGAGTGATTTGACCTGCTTAGTTTAAGAAATGGATGTGAAATCTTTCATAGGTGTTCAGTCGAATGTGAATTACTACGTTTTTTGCAATATTTACATCGTTTGGAACAATTGCACAGATGAGGCAAATATACTCAACAACAAAAGTTCCTGTGACACCAATATTTTAGTGTATTTTTCAAACAAGTAAAGTTTGGTTTTCAATATTGTAGTACATGTATGGAATCAAGTCACAAAAACGCAACTGCTACAGAAAAGCATGCATTCCATGCATAAGTTGACTTTAATGCAAGTCCCTTGCATTTCACTACCCAAGAATGGGTATAAAAACATGTACGTTAACGGGATTCCATATGCGGTGTTTAGCATCGTGCTGACAACAACCACTCAGAAATATAACAAAATTACGCAATTATTCAACATTACGAAATGCCACGCCTGTCCGAAAATGAGCGTCTGCGAGCGTCTGAGGTATGCTTGAAGCAGGATCGAGTCAACGTGATGTTGCAAGACAATTTAACGTTTACAGAAACACCATTTGGTGTTTATGGCAACGTTGACAACAGACGAATGCAGTCACAGACCATCCTCGGAGTGGCAGGCCACGCGTAACCAATAATCGACAAGACAACTGGATTCGAACAACACGAAATCAATTCCAGCCAGCAACAGTGACTGCAAGAAGCATCCCTGGCCTTCGACGAATATCTTCCCAAACCGTACGTCGTCGCCTCAGATGTGCAGGGATTGTCGCCAGAAGACCCGCCAGACGTCCCATTTTGACAGGAACCACCGTCAAGCACGTCTACAGTGGTGCAGATAGCGTCTACGCTGGACGGCCATGCCGTGGGGACAAGTTCTATTCACTGACGAGTCACGTTTTCACCTCAGCCACAGAAATGGACGGATTCGAGTGTACCGACGTCGAGGTGAACGTTAAGTCAATCATTGTGTCATGGAAGAAGATCGGTTCGGGGGCGGCAGCGTTATGGTATGGGGTGGCATAACAGCAAGACAGAGGACCCGTTTGATAGTGGTAGAGGGAAATCTCAATGGACAGCGCTACCGCGACGAGATCATCGGCCCTGTTGTTCTACCGTTTTTGCGTCGTCATGGTCCAGGCATTACCTTTCAACGTGACAACGCCCGACCTCATATGGCTCGACTTGTTCAGGATTCTCTTTAACAAAACAACGTGAATGTCATCCCCTGGCCGGCTCGCTCCCCTGATCTCTCACCAATCGAGCACATGTGGGATGAGATGGATCGGCGCCTTCGACGTCAACCACGTATTCCACAGACACTCCAGGAAATTCGAAACATGCTGCAGCAGATATGGACAGATATCCCACTTTATGCGACGCCTGGTCCATTCCATGAGACGAAGATGTGTTTCTTGCGTTGCAACCAGAGGATGACACACACGCTATTGATTTGTAAATTGACATTTTGGCATGTTCATGTTTGTAATGAAATCACGCATTTTCTGAAGCCAGTATGGCAAATTAAACCATTTGAACACTTACGGGAGTCTTTTATCTATTGCAAACCCAATTTGTTACAGAAAAAAAACATAACTTTGCATCAAATCTTATTCAATGTCACAGGAACTATTGTTGTCCAGTAAATGTGTCGGCAAGTCTCTTGTTAGTCATTGAGTAAGTGTTTTGGCTTTTTTTCAACACGAACAAGTTTTTTACCCCTGGAGTGTGTGTGTGTGTGTGTGTGTGTGTGTGTGTGTGTGTGTGTGTGTGTGTGTGTGTGTGTGTGTGTGTGTGTGTGTGTGTGTGTGTGTGTGTGTGTGTGTGAGTATGTTTTTACGCCGCTTTTAGCAATATTCCAGCAATATCACGGCGGGGGACACCAGAAATGGGCTTCACACATTGTACCAATGTCTGGAATCGAACCCAGGTCTTCGGCGTGACGAGCGAACGCTTTAACCACTAGGCTACCCGACCGCCCTTAACCCGTGGAAATTTGGTCAGGAGATGACCGTATCGATATGTGGTGAATAGGTCTCCTTTGTTCAAGTACTTGTCCATAGCTATATTTAGCTTTAAGGTGCATTGCAATCGGCATATACTATTTTATGTCACACAACTGCTCATGGCCATGAGTTAAAACTCGGCGCGGAAATGGAAAGAAGGATTCCTGGTTCAGTCCTATTAGCATACCAAATTACTTTCAAACTTTTCAGTGTAATTATCATACCTGGTTCAGTCCTATTAGCACACCCGGTTACTTTTAAACTTTCGAATTGGACATTTCAGTGTTATTATCATACAGTGCCCTTTACATTTCAAAGAACACACTGTTTCAAACAAAGAAGAGACAAACAACCGTGATAGGGAGTAGGTCAATATTTAATTGACAATAAATTCTTCATATGTTAAAACAATGTAGAAAAACCTCCCTAACTAAAAATGTACAACATCACATCATAACTTAAAAAACTAACAAACCCTTTCTCGCCTGCAGGTAGAAGACTGAGCGTCATGGGCGAGGCGGTGAGGCCTTAAGCTTACGGTAGCAAAAGCACGTACGGATCGTGACCCGAGCAGCGGATCGGCTGCGCTGTAGTGCTTACCGAGGTAAACCTAAAGAAAGCTTTACTTATTATTTACCACAAAACACTATCGGCAACTGACGCTGTGTCTCGTGAAGGTAGATATTACACCTTCTCTGGGTTCTGTACATTTACATCTTAATGCATATATCTCGAAAACCCGATTGCCTCAATGCTTCACAAGACCTGTCGCTGTTATGTGTACCAAGAACATTCTATCGCATAAATATAAATTACCACCGAAAGACCACCAACTTCATCGACACCGCAAACGTGATCATAAACTGTATAACTTTGCACGACTTTTGGTTCTTTTTGCAAATATGGTCACGTTCGTCTCTATTATAACGTAAACACAATCTTTAAACGCTGCTCATCCTTTGTAACTGAAACATCGCTCATAAGGTCAAATTTTATAACTGGGCCTGTTTTAACAGTATTACCACACACCCACAACGCATCAGATATCATTCACACACAGTTCACAGGTGAATGTGACCCTCTGTCATCTTCATGACAAGGCATTTAACGTGGAACTGACGTAGATGGTGACGCGTCCTCCGACAGCTAGTAAAGTTAATGGAAACTTATCTAGGGTGTCTGTCATATCTGAAACGCAAAAACATGTCGTGTTGTACTCGGGCAGAGAAATGAACGATGTCACGATTATAGTGTTTATACATCCATTGTATGTTTTGAATAACAATATTTTGTCTTTCGATCTTAGAGTATTGAATGTTTGGAGTACATTTACTGTACAAAATATAGAAAATTAAGTAACGTTTTCCTTTGCAACATATGCTTAGTACGGTTGTGGCAGGTGTTAATTGTTTTTACAAATATCTGAATAAAGGAAAACGCTGTATAGAGATTGCGTTTTATAACATAAAACACTCACTTGTCGCAGGTGCTGTTGCATTGAGGATATCCATGTTGAGGCATTTCCTGGCAAGATAAGGGCTGGCAGTCTGAAAGGCTTCTCTCTCTACAGGGGTCATGGCAATGTCTGACGTCATCGCAAACTGGCCAATTTCAACTGTCTCATTCAACCTCTGTTTCTGAGCAAAAAAAGGTGAAATAAGTGCCTGTGAGATTAAGAAGACGTTCAAGACACCAATGGCGTAGGAATACGTAGAGTAAAACATGTCTGTAAGGAAATGCACCAATGTCTAAGCTAATTGTATCGGATTCAGTCGTCAAGTGTACACTTTCTCAACAGACAGACAGTGGCTGTGAGATTAAGAAGACGTTCAAGATACCAATGGGGCAGTAAAAAATGTCTGCAATGAAATGCACCAATGTCTAAGTTAATTGTATCGGATTCAGTCGTCAAGTGTTCACTTTCTGAAAAGACAGAGTGGCTGTGAGATTAAGAATACGTTCAAGATACCAATGGGGAAGTAAAAAATGTCTGCAATGAAATGCACCAATGTCTAAGCTAATTGTATCGGATTCAGTCGTCAAGTGTACACTTTCTCAACAGACAGACAGTGGCTGTGAGATTAAGAATACGTTCAAGATACCAATGGGGAAGTAAAAAATGTCTGCAATGAAATGCACCAATGTCTAAGCTAATTGTATCGGATTCAGTCGTCAAGTGTACACTTTCTCAAACGACAGACAGTGGCTGTGAGATTAATAATACGTTCAAGATACCAATGGGGAAGTAAAAAAATGTCTGCAATGAAATGCATCCATGTTTACAGTTAATTTTATAAGATTCAGTCATCAAGTGTACATCGTAACATCGTTGTGTTTCATCGTAACTCGAGGACATAATGTCTTCTAATTTTTTCAGACACAGGTTTGTCTTGCCAGGACTGAGGTATATACAGACTGACGCGACTATACTTTTAACGAATGCGTGGGTCTTTTTAACGACCCGCAAAGGTTCTTATAGTGATCTGTTTTCCAGGAGCGGCATTTATATAAACAATTGTTTGCTTACCGATCCGAATTTGAAATAATAATAATTAAAAACAATATATTTAAAGCATGTGATGGCAGACAACAGGAATAGCACGGACAAAGATGTCCCTACATCTGCAACCTCAGTCCTATCTCTACAACTGCCCGACTCCAAACATCAACCACCACCACCCACCTCCCAGACACCCCCCCACCCCCCACCCCCAGACACACAACCCCATCCCTCACCCCGCCCCTCAACACACAACTCACCTTCCTGGCCAGTATGTCAGTCATGGTGGTATTGAAGTCCTCGGTGATATTTCCTGGGAGGACGATGCACTTCCGGCTCCCTGACACGTAGGCTTTAGTCACCACCATGTCCTGTAGCAAACAGAATTGTCATTTCCATGTTACCAACGTTTTAGGTGAAACACAAGCAACATTTGGGTACAATCAGCGTTTCTGCCAAAAGGGGGACCACGCCATCCTGTAGCCGTGGACCCAAGGATGTGGGACTTAACAGGTAGATATTCCCTTGTTCTGTCCTTATGGGTATTGCCAGGACCTTTGTAGGAACGAGCAAATGAAACATAAATAAACAGTCGTGATAGAGGGAAGTAAATACATGTAGAGAATACTTAGCTGCAGTTAATATCATGTTACTGAAATGAATTCAGTGTTATGACTTGGAAATAGAAAGAGATGTTTGTTTTAGCTTTATATAATGTTACTGGTTAAAATTTGGCTAGGAGACACGGGTGGTTCACTCGTGGTTGATATTTTAGCCCCTTGAATTACCCAGATGATAATTATATCGAGTTATTCATCGTCCGGAACAAGCGTTGTGCTGACTTGGATACTGTCGGTACAATATCCATTTATGTATGTATCCAACTTTGTACAGACCAAATAGAGGTCGAGATTTCACAGTTAATGGACTTTCATCCAACATCAAGCTGACGAGCCGTGATATAAATGAAATGCTGTTCACATCACACGTCAAACTGACGCGCCGCGATGTAACTGATATACTGTTCACATCAAGCTGACGTGCCGTGATATAACTAGTGATAAATCAGAGTATGATCAGTTATTTCCAAATGAGGATGTGTATATACTCACGCTGCTGTAGTCGATGTAGGAGTAGGATCGTGTGATGTTCAAAGCTGTCAGCCGTCTGTCAGAGGATCGGAAAAATATTCTCTCTTTGGACTTCAAAATGGCTGCGACTTCCTTTACGGTTACGTTTGTATCGATGTCACGTGACCATCTACTTCTTAAAACCTTTTCTCGGCGACGCTGCAAATAAACAAGCAACTCAAGTGTGAATGTTGTATGTTAAAACTTAAATGTTTATCGACAACGTTTACATTAGCATCAATGCAACGGATGGATTTGCAGTGATACATAGAAATGTCGAGGCATCGTGTCAATAATTACATTAGACGAGATGATTGTACCTGTTTCTCCTATAGTTGTTTGTCGCCTCAGTCAGCAGCAGTGAAGCGATATCGCGGCAATGTACTGATGGTGTATTATTCCTCCCCGTAATCGCTGCATGTTTGTGTGCAGAGATTTACGATTACTATATTTAGCGCAAAATTATCTCCTGGAAACATCCCCATTCCAAGGTTTTAAAAAATGAGAAATCAGATGGTTATGTCCAAAGAGTTATTACCGAGATAAAGGATTGGAAAATCATAAGAAGAATTATTGAAAACATAAAGATCTTTACCTGTTGCCGAGTTTGACCTTGAACCATACAGCTGCATAACACAAGCCCCAACATGACTGCCAGTGTTGCCGTCACCCTCATGGTTGTGTGAGATGAAGTCACGACTGAACCTGCCTTGAACATTTATAGCGCCCCGACTTGACAATGGCGTTTGTTGCGATGACCAGAGGGCAGTTATGTCATTAAGTCTGGCCGGAACTGACACAGATATTTCAAAGGCACTCTTGACGTCACAATGTGTGTTTGTCAACTGCGTTTTCTCCATGAATGATTATTACGAGGCTATGCTGTGACGCAGGCGCAGTTAAATCTGTCATCATGTCTCACATAAGTTGTCCCATATCCTTTGAGCAATGGCAATGATTATTTCTTCTCACTTGTTAAATTAATTCATAATGCTACAAGTTTACAAGTGGGTTTTTTTCCAAAGCGATAAAATGGGGGATATTTGTTTAATAAATAAAAGACATTATCTTTTCAAACTGATGTTTCAACAATATACTTATTGTCTCTATATAGTTATATAAAGTAAGTGAGTGAAACATTCAACGTCGCAACGTCAGGAAGCGGAGAGAGCTAGTTATTAAACAATAGAAGTTTCTCAGCAAAGAACAACAGTTAGAAAGTAGGTGAAATATCACATATTTAAAATACAACAAACTAGATCAGGCGTAAAATGCATTTTAATAATTACACTAATAATCACATACAAATAGACGTGCTTGAATGATGTACCAGCAGGCTTGTGTTCCGGGAAGTTCTTTTGTTTCAAACATAACAGCCTCATGACTAATTCACCTCACACTTTAAGTTCAAATGTAAAATATTTTAATACACTTTTGAGATTTGGATAAGGTAAGTTAAAAAAGATACATTTTGTTGTAGTTTAAGGTACTTCTCTCACATAGACCAAATCATTTTGTCAGGCGTTGGCAGAAAAAAATCTTCAATATAAATATTGTATATTAAAAAAAAATCTCTTCTAAAAGCAAAGTCCATTGTATGATTTGACTATACCATAAGCATTTGTTAATAAATCATTATCAAATAGTGATGATACCAGGTGTTCGCGAAAACTGTTTATAATTCATTGGAGTAATAACACTGTACACTTATAGAAGTTAATATGCCAACATGTGTAATATGCATATACTTTTAATGGCGAGCTGCTGAAAGCAACTTCAGTTATTCTGACCACGGAATGCCTGGGAAATCCAACATTAGTTATTTTTGTCGCCCTAATACAGCACGTCGCTGCTTCCATTCAGTAGTATCAGTAGTACTTGTTTTCGCACCTGACTGACAAGTACAAACATTGTCATGCTCAACATCAATCACGAACAGAACATGTAGCTCGAGGCTCTACGAACTGTGCAGTGCGTCAAAGCACATGACCCACTCGCCTGTGACATGTCACGTACTGGCATAAGGGGCCGCACGTTTCAGAATAGGGATTAACACGTCAAACCTACTTTAGAGAACACTATAAGTGTATCATGACAGTGTGGGTACACGGAGGTCTAAAAGTATTAATATGTATAATTAAAAGTGATATCATAAGCAAATGGTCTAGTAGATGGAGCGTTTTCCTGGAGAGTGTAAGGTCCTGGTTCGATCCCGACTTCGTCATACCAAAACAACGTGAATGATGCTTGTTAGTACCCTGCCTGGCGCTCGGTATTAAGGGGATAAAACAAGGACTTGTCGGCTCGGAATGAGTACATGTGTCTGAATATTGGATCCATGTTAAATTGCGGCATGGTATTTCAGTGCGCTAGCACTATAAAACCTTCATCAATCCGTACAAGTACAAGAATACACATACACGTGCATGCTCGTCGCTTTATAAGTGCAATAATCATAAATGCAATATTAATCGTCATTTCACCTCACCTCACGTAACTGTGTGAACCAATGAGTGCATTTGCAAAATAAGAGACCTGTCACCCAATCATTGTTATAAATATAAATTTGCTGGTTGGTTGGTTAACGCCGCACTCAGTATCATTCCATTTATATGATGGCAGTCTGTAAATGTAGTGATTGACATCATGAGCATCGATCTATGCAAATGACATATGATAACACACACCAACCAAGTCCGCGAGCCTGTAGTCGCTTCTTACGACAAGTTGAACACCAATCCCAACCTGGATATTCACGCGGCACTAACTGTTTTGATATAGTGGGATATATACAAACACATTATCGGTTCAGAGCATGCATTGTGTATGCATGTACTGTAACTCTCCAGGCCGGAAGGCGTGTTTCTCGGTATATAGGTATCCACTGCATCTAGGAGCATCTGCCAGACATTGTCAAAACAAAACAACATGAAACAACGAAACACTGAAGAACTCATAAGCTACTAAAATATAATAAGGAAATAAAAACAAAATGTATGATGAAAAGAACATCCCGGTACTAACAAGGCCATTCAGCAACATGTTACAGTGACATTACACGGAGCTTAAAAAGGGGAGGATTTAAACAATTGGTATTTACAAATAAAAGCATTGTTTATATTCCGGTTCCATATTTGCAGTGACAGGGAAGTTACAGCAGTAATGAAAAAGTACTGATAACCTGTAAAAATACTACAATCATTACAATTCCGTGATAAACGTCTGATTGGTGTATTAAAGTAATCATATTCAAGCAACTGTATCACCGCTCAGGAATAACAGCACCCTTCAACCAGACAACCACAGTCAATCTTTGCGAAAAATGCATCAGATTCATAAATATGTATCCTGTATATATATTCTAACATATATTACTAATGCTTCATTCACTATTAAGCTGACAAAATATACACTTCTTGGTGTCTTATCGGCGTCCTATTGGTGTGTTATCGGTGTTTTAGTGGTGTAGTATCGGCGTCCTATTGGTGTGTTATCGGTGTTTTAGTGGTGTAGTATCGGCGTCCTATTTGTGTGTTATCGGTGTTTTAGTGGTTTAGTATCGGCGTCCTATTGGTGTGTTATCGGTGTTTTAGTGGTTTAGTATCGGCGTCCTATTGGTGTGTTATCGGTGTTTTAGTGGTGTAGTATCGGCGTCCTATTGGTGTGTTATCGGTGTTTTAGTGGTTTAGTATCGGCGTCCTATTGGTGTGTTATCGGTGTTTTAGTGGTGTAGTATCGGCGTCCTATTTGTGTGTTATCGGTGTTTTAGTGGTGTAGTATCGGCGTCCTATTGGTGTGTTATCGGTGTTTTAGTGGTGTAGTATCGGCGTCCTATTTGTGTGTTATCGGTGTTTTAGTGGTTTAGTATCGGCGTCCTATTGGTGTGTTATCGGTGTTTTAGTGGTTTAGTATCGGCGTCCTATTGGTGTGTTATCGGTGTTTTAGTGGTGTAGTATCGGCGTCCTATTTGTGTGTTATCGGTGTTTTAGTGGTTTAGTATCGGCGTCCTATTGGTGTGTTATCGGTGTTTTAGTGGTTTAGTATCGGCGTCCTATTGGTGTGTTATCGGTGTTTTAGTGGTTTAGTATCGGCGTCCTATTGGTGTGTTATCGGTGTTTTAGTGGTGTAGTATCGGCGTCCTATTGGTGTGTTATCGGTGTTTTAGTGGTGTAGTATCGGCGTCCTATTGGTGTGTTATCGGTGTTTTAGTGGTTTAGTATCGGCGTCCTATTGGTGTGTTATCGGTGTTTTAGTGGTGTAGTATCGGTGTCTTAATGGTGTCAAATTTGTGTCAGAAGACAGAACCTCGCTGTTCCGAACGTCACAATTCAGGTTCGAAACAAGTAGCTTGTCGATAATTGACATGAAATGAATGTTTCTAGTATGAAGCAATGTGATGCGATTGTGAAGTACAAAACAAGTATGGATTATAATGCATCTAATACTTAATGATGATGCAAGTCATTATATTGTAAATCATATTGTTGATTTAACAATACCCTGGTAAAATAACAGCATTGGTAACTGGCTTGACACATAGTACCTGTGTGGGGAATCGAACACAGGTTTTCGGCGTGACGCTTTAACCACTTGGCTATCCCTCCACCAATACTGTATTATAGATACGATCTTATAGTACACATTCTTGGAATGTCTCAAAACAAGAAATAGTTTCAAAGCAGACAGGGACGGTGTGAACAATGTATACAACAAAAGTTCCTGTGACATTGAATACGATTTAATGCAAAGCTATGATTTTTACCAAATCTGAAACTATTTCGGTTTGCAACAGATAAAAGACTCCTGTCAGTGTTCAAATGGTTTAATTTGCTATGCTGACTTCAGAAAATGCGTGATTTCATAAAAAAGCTGAACATGCCAAAATGTCAATTTACAAATCAATAGCGTGTGTGTCCACCTCTGGTTGCGACGCAAGCAACACATCTTTGTCTCATGGAATTGACCAGGCGTCGCACAAAGTCGACAAAGTTTCGAAGTTCCTGGAGTCTCTGAGGAACACGTGGTTGACGTCGAAGGCGCCGATCCATCTCATCCCACATGAGCTCGATTGGTGAGAGATCAGGGGAGCGAGCCGGCCAGAGGATGACATTCACGTTGTTTTGTTGAAGAGAATCCTGAACAAGTCGAGCAATATGAGGTCGGGCGTTGTCATGTTGAAAGGTAATGCATGGGCCATGACGACGCAAAAACGGTAGAACAAGAGGGCCGATGATCTCGTCTCGGTTTCGCTGTCCATTGAGATTTCTCTCTACCACTATCAAACGGGTCCTCTGTCTTGCTGTAATCACACCCCATACCATAACGCTGCCGCCCCCGAACCGATCTTCTTCCATGACACAATGATTGACGTAACGTTCACCTCAAAGTCGGTTCACTCGAATCCGTCCATCGCTGTGGCTGAGGTGAAAACGAGACTCGTCAGTGAACATAATTTGTCCACACTGCATGGCCGTCCAGCGTAGACGCTGTCTGCACAAGTGTAGACGTGATTGACGGTGGTTTCCTGTCAAAATGGGACGTCTTGCGGGTCTTCTGGCGACAATCACTGCACATCTGAGGCGACGACGTACGGTTTGTGAAGATATTCGTCTAAGGCCAGGGATGCTTCTTGCAGTCACTGTTGCTGGCTGGAATAGATTTTGTAGGTGTGTTGTTCGAATGCAGTTGTCTTGTCGATTATTGGTTACGCATGGCCTGCCACTCCGAGGATGGTCTTTGACTGCATTCGTCTGTTGCCAACGTCTCTCACGTTGACTCGATCCTGCTTCAAGCATACCAATGGCTCGCAGACGCTCATTTTTGGACAGGCGTGTCATTTCGTA